CTTGTTTCAAAAAAAAAAAAAAAAAAAAACGACTCAAACCTACTCAACTGTTTGATTTAGTTTGTTTTTAATCACAAATAATAAGCTTTATTGAGAGGAAGATAAATTGTTTGAACACGCTGCTTAGTGAGTTGAAAAAGAAGACTATTTACCAAGAAAATATTCTACTTGTAAAATTAAAATGAACCTACATGGTCTTTTGATTCCGCAACAATATTTTTCTTAGAAACAAATTGATTTTTTTTTTGTCAAACGAGAGATTACCACAATTTGAAAATAATAATGCAACAAAACCAAACATGGATCAAATTGATGAAAACAAAATAGAAAAATATAGTTTGTCTCATGCAAGATTATTTTAAGTCTACGTGTCGAGATGGACTCGGTCCTAGTTGTTAATTTAATTAACACTATAACTCTGCTTAATATTGTTTTATTTTAGCAAGTAGCTCTCTACCAAAGTGGTAAAAAAGAATATTGATCTTGCACCACGGTGTGAGTTCGAACCCTATCAATTTATTACTTGACAAAAAAAAATTTATTTTATTCTACCAAAAGATTGCTTAGTTTAAAGTTACACAATAAAATGTTTTGATAAAAAAAGAAAGCCAAACCACATAATTTTGAATACACTCGATATTAAAAATAGCCTTCTCTGTATTTCAATTCTATCCTATTTTGGGAGATATGTCATCTTGTGACAAAAAAAAAATCATGCGCCTTTCAATTTCGAAACTAACAAACCCCGACATGCTCGAGGCATGCTGGCCGTCACGTGAGGGTGACGTAGTCATGTGCACAGTGCGAAAGCAATAATGATATAAGAAATGCGAATAAATAAAAACCAACTGACTAAAACACTAGATGAGATAAGGTGAAAATGCGATATTAGAAGTGACTACACATAACCAGAGCGTAGGTATCCTAGGTGCAGTCTAGCAAGACGAATACTAATTATACAATACCAAAGATGGTCCTACAATAGTGATAATCTATCAGAGCTACCGTGAATTCCTCGTGAGCCACCAACGAGCACTCCTACCTAAAACCTGGAGGGGCGCAAAACAGAAAGTGTGAGTGGGCAAAAACAAAGTTTTTCAAAATCATTTCATTTATCAAAAGTAGTAACCCCTCGCTGTAAAACCTATATAATTCCCAGAAAATAGCATATACGATTATATCTCAAAATCATATTCAAAAATAGCAATCCACCGAATATATCATGTCAAATCTCATAAAGAAATAAGTAAGCCAGGTGCAATAAATCAATGGAATAGTATGCCAGCCGGAGTCACCTAAAGTGACCTGTACAGTTAGGTCCACAACTTATCAATCAAATTATGCACACGAGTCGGAACCACCTAATGTGGTTTTGTACGACATGCTAGGTGTAAATAAATACACTCAAATGCTACGGTCACGTGAAGACTGTGTGAAGTATTGCAAGTCATCTATGAGTCAGAACTACTTAAAGTGGTATGTATGACAGGCTAGCACCTGCCTTGGATCCAAGGTGAGCGTGTGGTGCGAGAGGTGAACGATCACGTGAAGGTTAGGCCCTATCCTCGGGCAGAGCACTAATACCGGGGTGCAGGATAAATAGCTCAAAATACATCTCAACACTAATATACTTATTACCATCACTACCATCAATATACTCACCTGAAGCTTACCTGAGCGTCCGCAGCATCGAGCAACAATATATATATAACCATACTAATGCACAATTAAACATAAAAAGCATTTGACATGGCATTTCAAAGTATCAAACCATTTAATTAAGTTTTCTGGGAAAAATACCAAGTATATAGATATATACTGAAAACCAAAAGCCCACTCACTGATATGTGAAAGGGTCGTAACCCCTGAGCCTTGCTTGACTGCGCTCGTCCTCAGGATAGGTCTCACCTATATGCAAAACAACTATTTAAACGTTATTTTTAAGCACATAAACAAAACTAGGTAATAACTTCGCATACATTGCTCAATTTGGGTATTTGAATATACCACCATGACTTACTCAACCTTAGGAACATTCCTATATTTTTAGAAAAAAATTCCGACCACTCACGCACCGTCACACGCCGGCTAAGGCACGGCTAGACGCACGGTCCACACGCAGGCACGTGCTTGGCACACTGACGGATTCCCTATTGGCGTTAGGGAATATTCCGTTAAATATTAGAATATGCCGTTAAATATACCTGATGCAGTTAAAATATTCTGTCAAAGTTGACGGAATATTTGCCTTCTTCTCCGGTGAGTCACCGAATTCCTTTGCCGTTGCCGTCTGCGTCACCAGAAACTGGAAAATTTTCAAATCTTCATTTCTTAACAAAAATTCACGAAATTTGCACCAAAATAAAGCTTGGGATTAGAGGAACAAAACCTTACCACTTTTAGGTTTTAAATCCACCGGAAAAACCTACGATAGTCCGGCCACCTTTGCAACTCACTAACTCGAGCTTCCTGATGTCCAAAACACTTTCAATTTCTTCCCTAAGCTTTGCAAATATGTTCTAAGGCTCCCTAGCACCCTAAAACTCAATGAAACCTCCGCGATCACGACGGGGTCACTGTGCACCTTATCGGGGTTTTGTATAACTTGAGTTCTACAAGTTCTACGAGTTCTCACGTCGAACCAAGGATATAAATGAACTCCTGGGCTCACAAGGAACACGAAAACCACCTCCTCGACGTCAATCCGTGCATGCAAAGGTTGGTTGAGGATGATCTGTACAATTGTACGGAAAATGGATGAAAGCCGAGAGAGAATGAGAGAGAGAAAGTTAACGAGAGAGTGCTATGGGTGTGTGTGTGTGGTCTAGCTTGGGCTACCAACCAACAAACAAAAGCTTACTTCCAATTGGGTCCAAAAAGTTAGGAAAAACATGTCATGGTCCAAATCCTTAGCCCGTTTACACACACACAACCACTAAACGCTCAAGGGCATAACCGTCACTTCACAATATCAAGGATAAAATAATAAGAACATTCGGGACAGGTTGTGACAGAAACTCTTATTCTCTGTATATCTTTTGTATATTAGGCTTATATTCAATTCCTGATGTAAAAAACGCAGTAGGCAATGCAATGAACAATGGTTTATCAAAAGCACCATGATTTTCAAACGAAACTATACCTAAGAAATTAGGCGCAACTTCACCTTCACTTCTTCTTCAAGCCATTGACGTGGATTTCTAGGTTTAGCTTCACAGTTTGACGTCGTTCAAGCTTCTTTTTCCGTGAAATCCATTTCAATTAAACCCTAAGCCATACTAGAGGTCCATGGCAACCTTAATTTGGATTGAAATGACAAACTTAATCCATCCACATGATAGTCATGTGAGTTTGTTTAACGGTAGATTAACAAAAGTTTAGGTTTGAAATTCAATTGCTAACGGGACTCACTATCAGAGTTTAATTAACAACTTTTTCACCACGATAGTTACAATGGAAATATTGCGTCACAACATGAGCAACAATATATTTTTGACCATATATTTAATTGTCCGTATAACTAATTATAACTATTGCAACTGAATTGTTGAATTCCATCCCCACTCTTTTTATTTTTTTATTTTTTAACAAACTATATTATCTAAGAAGGTTGTAGCTGGACTAAACATCACACTAAGCTAGTCATAATAATGTGATTTAACTTTACATTTGACTAGAATCAAATATAAAACTTCTCATTTACAAATAAAAAAAAAAAAAAACATTAAACCGTAATGCTCATCCCCACTCTTATCGCTACCAAAATGCGTCTCCACTAAAGTAGGCCTGCCAATGAATAGCTCCGCCCCAATGGTGTTTTAAGCTGCAACGCAACAATTGTTTTATCGTAGTAAATAATCCAACCCACCCATCTTCTCCTCCTCCTACCTTCCACCATTTCCCCAAAAATTATTTTCAGGGTTTATTTATTTATTAATATCTCATTTATTGTTGAATACACCTCACATAAAAGTTTATTGTTAAGTAGCTTATATACCTAATATAATATGACTATTTAGGCCTAATAAAATTTAAAAAAAGAAATAATTTTCTAAATACACCCCAAGTTAATTTAGACTTGTATTCTAAGATTGCTTTTCTTCAAGCTCTCAAAGTCGCTTACGTCCTTCATTGTAGAACAAGACCCTAACTACTAAAAGCACAAAACGTGGAAAAATATTATTTTTCATCCTCGTTATGCAGATCTTTAATTTGCTTGATTCTCTGATAAGAGAAATTTGGGAATTGGAGAAAGGTAAAGGAAATCGGTCAGTTTAAAGCCAGCAATACATTTTTTTTTTTTACTTTGCAGGTGCAACCTAGAAGAACAAACTGATATAATAAAATGCAATGTGTTCACAAATTTGGCTTTGACCATGATAGAACATCAAATAGTTGTGCATGTGAATTCATATATATTCGGACATAGAATGAATAGTACAATCTTATAGGCAATCCAATTATCAAATAATAGATCGGCGGAAGGTATGGGCTATTTAACCCCGCCGGATGACAATGTTATAAATTGAATGGAGAATAGGGGGAATTTTTTGTTTCATACTTAACTCCAATTCCTTTGCTTGTTCATCGCCTTCTGGTTGTTCTTCGTATTGATGTGGGGTTTAAGTAAAGCGTGTGTGGTGTATATATAGCATGTGGGGTGTGAGGGTAGCATTGAAAAATATGGGGTGTATTAAGATAAATTTTGATTTAAAAAAATATATGTGGGATGTATTAAGTATATGAGATGTAATCAACAAAACGTGGGGTGTGAATAAAACAATTCTTATTTTAAGAGGTGTGCTATCCACACACCTCATTTTACTTCTCACACACCCCTTAATAATTTATGTCCATTGATCTTTTTCAATTCATCTGATCCAAAGGTCAAAAATTAAAAAGATGTGTTAGAAATAAAATAAGATGTGTGGATATTACACCTCTATTTTAATTTCTTTTTCTCTTTAATTCAACAAAATAGTCTACCTTTTTTCTTGTTCAACCAAGTCCCCTCTTCCATTGCTGCAGCATACATACATTTCCAAGGCTCCGCAACTCCCCCACTTTCCATGTCCATGGCCTCTTCCACAAACCTCCTCCTCTCTCCCTCTCCCCCTTCATCTACTTCTCCTCTCCTCCCTCTCTTCCTCTACTCTGCCTTGTACCCACCAAGGCAATCACCGAGCTCTCTCTCCTCACCCTTCCCCTAAAACCCTCCAACCCCGACAACTTCTAGTTTTTGTTCAATCAAATCCTGTTTCTCAGCTGAACTTTCTGTTTTGGTCCAAATTACAGATGCCCATTTCAAATTTGCTCCAATTCTCTTGGAAAAAGCAGTCAAGGCAATGTCTTTGTACCCCTTTGGGCTTCCAAGCTGATACCCAGTTGTATTGAGTAAAGGGTGTTCTGATCTGCCATTGGAGGATCAAAAGCACAGGTTTTCTCATGTACCCAGTTCTTGTTTGTTGGTCTTCTTCAAAGTCTGAGCCGAAAACTTCATGGTATAGTTACTTAGTGATCAAATTCTGCCTTGTTTGTATAGAATATACCTCCTGATTCTGCTGGGTGTGCTGGGTTCCAGTTTCTGAAGATTATTGAACAAATTGGGTTTGTTGTTTGATCCTTTTGCTACTTATTTGGGGGAATTTTCAGCTGTAAAGTTAGGGCTTTTGATCTGGTTAGGTTTGCAAACCCTAAGATGTTCTATATTCTAGTCATTTTTGTAATATATCAGTTTTTCTTGTTTGTAGAGTAGTTCCAGCTTGGGCAAGATATATATTATATTTATTCCTAGGATTAAGGTAATAAATAATTGCAAGATTGTAGCCTTTGGCCTGAAAAATACTCCATTGTTACTTTTTAGGCAGCTAAGTGGTTGAGGGTTTGACCCCTTTTGCTATCTTATATTTGGGGCATCTTCTGTTATGTAATTAGAACTTGAAGTAGGTTTCTGGTGTTTCGTTAAGCCGTCCTTGTGCGCTCGGTCAAAATGCCTGGAAATGGTCACTTTTTCGTGGAGTGGAAAGAGCACTTTGTTTCGCAGGAGAAGGGCAACCGTGTGGTTCACTATTTCTTGAAGGATTCTTCTGGAGAATCCATTCTTGCAGTTGTGGGTACTGAGAGGAGTGTTAGGCACATGTTCTATGTTGTTTCCGAGGAGTTTTTGCAAGTGCACGGAATCGAGAGCTCCAATAGTGCCAACTTTAAATGGAGGTCAAGAAGGGAAGTTGTGGATTGGCTTACATCTATGCTGTCAAAGCAGCATATTCGTGGAGATCTGTCCGGTATGTGTTGCCACTTTGTAATTTCTAGTTCGTTTTATTGTCCATGAAGTGTATGTTATGTATGCCATTGTCAAGAGAATGCTTTAATTGCTTTGGCATGTAAGAACCATAACAGCTTTTGTGACGCAAGGATTTTGATTTCCCTCTGCAACCCAGCATGAATCACTAGTTTAAGTGCCTGATAGAAAAATATTAGATAGGTTTTACCACTATGAATTTCTGTATAGAGGTTGTTATTAAGAAATTCAATCTTAATACCTAGTAAGCTTATTCTTTTTGACGTATTTGCTAGAAACGAGGGATTTGTATAACTGGAAAATTATGATTGAAATACAATTTTTTTTTTGACAGAATCACCCCAACATGATTCATCACAAGCTTCGGGGAGTCCCAAATATCCAATGAATGGAGTTAGTGGTCCCCAGGTGCAGGTACCCAATAACTCGGTATCTTTTTGTTGTTTTCCTATATGAGTATTGATTCTGTTCTTGCGATGCTTTCAAATTTTGCCTGCAATATTGATTCTGCAACTTGTTTATCAGGGCCGTCTTTCAAAGACCTTGAAGGGACGCAATCCGGACATTGTTTGGTCAGGTGTTGCATGTACATGTGGTAAACAGCTCAAGCATTTCCCTGCATTCTGTAGGGATGGAACTACAATAGCGGTAAGGATTTAACTGTCAAAGTATACAGCTGTACAGGGCATAGCTCTCATTACTTAAACTCTTAAACTTACATAAAAGTCCCATTTTATTTTGTAGACTGATATTCCTGGAATAATTTCTGTGACATTACATATTTGAAAGATGATTACTTTGCCATTAATATGGACTAAGATAAATTACATCCTTCAGATGGGTGCTTGAGAGACATTGCATTGGAGTAATCAATCATTTGTCTCAAGTTTCATAGCTTATATAGAGGATAAATAAAATATTGTCTTTATTTTGTTACAGTGGACTATGGTTGCGTTTAATAACGATGCTTGAGCATACATCCCAATTATGTGGTAGTGACACTAGTTTCCTCTTGATGTTACATGTTTCATTTGATTCATAGCCTGTCAAATTTGCACTTTGTTCACGTATGATATATTAATGCATGAACATCAGAGGATTTAGTTCAAAGACTAATAACCAAGGTATTTTGTTGAAGTTTGCCTTGATGTGCACATCTTGGTCAGGTCAAATCACTAGTGACCACTTGCATTCTGTCGACAATGGAATTGATATGCTACTCTGATTTTTGCTGTTAGCTGTAATTCTTTTCTCTGATTGTTTTGCTTTTCCCTTTGCATCCAGATTAAGTCCTTTGTCTTTGTCATGGCAAAGGGAGAAAATCACTATGTTGCTTATGTGGAGGATATGTATGAAGACAAGAGGGGTCAAAAAAAGGTCAAAGTGAGGTGGTTTCACCGTAATCAGGAAGTAAGGGGTTAACTCCTGTAAGAAATCCTCACCCAAAGGAAGTTTTCATCACTCCATATGTGCAGGTCATTAGTGCAGAATGTGTTGATGGTCCTGCAACAGTCTTAACTCGTGAACATTATGAAAAATGCTTAGCTGTGTTTCCTCAGGCTTTATTGGCCAGAGTTCATTTCTGCTGTAGACAGTTTAGAAGTAACAAGGTGAAGCCATTTGATTTGAGTAAAATGCATGGCTATTTTGATCAGCCAATTCTCTCTTGTTTGGGTCTTGAAGTTTCAGAAAAATCTGAGTTTATAACTGATAGCTTGATTGAGGAAGAAGATGAATTGGGTCCAAGTGACTATGTAAAGCGAGGGTCTAAGAGGACTAGAAGTGGAAGGCCATGTCAGAGGTTTGCAACTGGTCGTTCAAGAGCAAGAATTTCTAGTAGAGGTAACCAGATGATGACATATAGACCTCAGAACACAAACTGTGGTTTGCTCAGACGGTTGTTTTCCATGAAGCTTGTTGATTGTCAGCCTTGGTATGCCCCACTCTTTAAGGTTGATGAAAAGATAGAATTGCTTTGCCAAGATAGTGGCATTCGAGGCTGCTGGTTTAGGTGTACAGTGTTGCAGATAACACGAAAACAGATGAAAGTCCAATATGAGGATTTGCAAGACGAGGAAGCAAGTGGCAATCTTGAGGTATGCTTAGCCACTGATACACCCTCTTCTATGTCTATTATTTGGGTTGAACTCTAAGTTGTGGTGTAAAACGGTGACATCATGTCTAGTGTAGGTACTCGGTATCTGGCTTAAGTTAGGTACACAAGACTTCCATCCAAGATTCTGTTTTAATCAGCTATTTATTGTAATTCCAATTTAAATTACATGTTTCCTCTTCTTTCTTTTGGTACTGTCCCGCATTTTGAGATTCAATCTAGCATGTTTAGATTTTAAAGTGTGCGTATCTCTCTGTCTACAATGTCAACTCTTGAGCATCTCCTTTTTCGAACTCTGAACTGTTACCCTGAAATGTAAGTTAACCTTCACTATTGTATGATGGTGTGTCTTGAACACTACCGGTTCCACTGACCCTTAATTTAACCACTTGCTAGCTGTTGACATAGTCCACATGTTTGTGGTTTAAACCTTTTTGAATCTGTCAGTTTTCGTGCAGGCTCATGTTCTTAGTTTGTGGTTATAGTTTAGAAAGATGGTCCTATTTTTCACAGGCATTTCGTAATAATAGAGATGCATGAGTTTGTGCATTGCGAATTTTCTTCTCATTTCCTGTAGGCATTGGATGGATTGGACCACATTAACTCGTGTTCTCTGACTGATTATTCTGTTTTTTCTTCATTTCTTTTGGCTTCTGAACTGTGATCAGGCCTGACCCTCACTCTCCAATTTGTAGGAATGGATCCCAGCTTTTAGATTGGCTATGCCTGATAAGCTTGGTATAAGGCATCTAGGCCGCCCAATGGTCCGGCCAACCCCTCCTAAGGAACAAATGGGCCTTGCCCTTGAGGTTGGGGTTGCAATTGATGCATGGTGGAGCGATGGCTGGTGGGAAGGGATTATAGCTGGAGTTGGCAGCTGTGCTGACACCTTTCAAGTTTTCATTCCTGGTATGCGTAGAAGCGGGATCTAGTTTTTTCCCTGCATGTTCCTGTTGCATATTTTCCCTATATTTTTCTTAGTTCCTTTGTTTGAATGTAATTTCTTTGGTGGTATCAGGTGAAAGCTTACTCTTGAACATGCACAAAAATGATCTGAGAATATCCAAAGATTGGTTGGGAGACGAATGGGTTGATGTTGAGGTGAAGCCTGATGTACTTTCAGCTATATCTTCAACAATCATCTCATGCACTCGTCCCTTTACATCGTCTGCAGTTGTGAAAGGTGTCGACTCTGATGGGTTCGCTTTGTCGTATGTTGAAGTTCCTTCTAGTACTAAACATGTGGAAGAGGAAAAACAGAACTTAGCCGTATCTGCCAGTTTTGATGCTTCTGAAAATATGGACTTGGACAGTGATAGGAAGTCACCATCATTAAATGACATTGGTACTGAAGATGTTGATGTCGATGACTGTTGTGGTGATGTACAGGATTTCCAAGGTAATGATGTTGATGACAACAAAGATGACAAAATGGCCGAGGGTGACAAAGGTAACAACGGCGGGGGTGATGGCAAAAACAATGGTCATGATGAGGGCCAAGAAGGCATGGAGGTGTATGAAGTTGAAACTGCCGATACTGAACGTGTTGACGTGAGTGACAGTTGTGGTGATGTACAGGATATCCAGGTTAATGATGAAAAAGATGACAACAGTGTTGAGGATGACAAACGTGACAACGGTTTTGATTATGGAAAAAACAATGGTCATGATGAGGGCCAAGAAGGCATGGAGGTGTTTGAAACTGCTGGGGAGGGGAGCCCAAGAGCAGTAGAAATCATGGAAATGACATCATAAGATGTCTAACTTGAGTTTGATAACCTTAAATTGTGGCAGTTAATGATGTTATTGTTGTTGGTTAATGTTGAAAAGTGTGTCAGCTAGGATGTCTGTAAATAGTTACACTGAGATGTTGGAGAGAAGCTCGCTGCATTGTTTGGAGTTGGTGGCCTTCCTGGGTGTACAGTATGAGATAAGAGTCAAGATATTTATTTTTTTCTGGTTTTCCACGGTTGTATTAGAATTCAAATTTCGAGTTCCTCCGATTAGGAACGCTTCTCAGCGAGTCGGTTCTTCGATGTTATTGAACACGCTCATGCACTTCTGCTTGTAGCTTGTATCAAAGATTCCGAGGTCTGTTGTAATCTTAAGTACTGTATCTTGGCTCCATGCTGTTTAGGAATGTTAAAGAGAACATGAGAAATGTGTTCGAATAACTATCCGTTTTGAATAATCATAGGGCAGGTAAGTTCAAATAAGGGTCTGAGCTCATATGTTAGTACTCTGTCATTGGCATGGGCGGTATCCATACATTCGATTACGTTTACTTTACTCTTCAAAATCCAACTTACTCTTCAAAATCCATCTTTGGATTTCCATAGCTCGGTACAAAAAAATCCACTTTTATTTGATATCCAAGTCTACTTGGGATAAATATAGATTGGAAAATGAAATAGTATTCATAATCATAAAAATATTTGCTTGATTTGAACATCGCTCGTTTACTAATTCAAAATCAAAATGGGAGGAATTGAATTGATAAGAGGTAGGAATAAAGAGGAGTCAGAATTTGATTCTACTTTTTGGAATCGGAAGATAATTGGTATAGATTTCATATAAATTGTTTATTAATTAACCTGAATCGGAATGAAAATTAGTATAATTACTAAAATGTCCTTAGTTGAAGTAACTTATTTTATATACTATTTTTTTGGTTAAATTTTAAGGAAAACTAATGAAAATGGCTTGAAAACTTTGAGTTTTAACGATAAGGACAAAATAAATGGTAAAGTAAATAGTACCATGATTGACTTTTTAGTATAAAAATGTGGTTTTTCATTAAAGTGAATAATACCAGAAGATTTTCGTTAAAGTTCCCTAAATTTTATACTAATTAATAGAAAAAAAATGTTAAATGCTTCTATTCACCAAATATTAAGCACAATGAAATTTAATTATTTGATTTAATTTTATTGTTATTGTTGAATTTGATATTAAATTGGGCAGCAATTGGTAGTGTTGGGTTAATGCGAAGGCCAATATTAAAATTTTAAAAATAAATGAGGGCATAACGGGAAGAAAACAATCAATTCCGGTTCCCCAATAACCCGGAATTCAATTCCCACCTAAATGTAAGTAATTCAATTCCTCCAAATTTTGGAATTAGATTCTTAAATTCGCGTGGGCGCCATTAACATTTTGATTCCATAATTTTTGGTAAACACTAAAATATCCCTTAACTGAAATTCAATTTCTCGATTCCAACTACCTTTACGTAAACATGCGTCAAGGATGGTAAGGATTTGCCTCTGTTGCATTTGAATAGTGGAGGAAAAAAATGAGGATAAAAATATTAGTACAATAATTAACAAATTATAATCTAAGCCACTGCTCTCCAGATATAAATTTTGTATCCAGAAAAGGCCTTATCTCCTCCAAGCTGAAAGACTTCAACCATGGCACCCTCCCTCTTCTTTCTGCTCCTCTGCCCCTGCATTCGTATTCTCCGAAATCCACTGTCCTGTCGACGCAAAACTTGCACTTTTAGAAACAACAGAGAGAATCTAAGATGAACATTGTTAAAAGAGTTTTTCGTGGAAGAGGTTGTATATACTTCTGCCTGGATGGGTAGTTCCAGTCGCTCCACCCCGGTGGAGTTATTATATCATCGAAATGACAGTAGGAATACACCGTTCTTGAATAATTTCCCCAAGCTCTTCCCAAGTAGATGTAGCCAGTCCCGATGATTTTGCAGTTTACAAAGGAGAATCCTGTGTCTTCATTCGGCGAGTCCCGGTGATGAGCCGCTATTGCTCCCGAGTTCTGAGCCGTTGATTGAATAACACAGTCCTGGTAACAAGGGCCAAATTCAAGCATTTTAGTTTCGTGAAGAAACTTTGGGTGCAAGTTACGGAAATGCTAGGCACTCGGTATTCTATTTGTACCTGGTAGAGTGATCTTGATCTGCCAAAAATGAAGTCCACACTTCCTTGAATGTGACATCGGTAGAAGTAGTGAGATCCAGTGTCGTCCAGGAGTGTATCCTGCGTCCCCAAAACCCGAACTCTGTAGAACATGGCTTTGTCACCGGCAACTCTAAGAGCCACTGCTTGCATTCCATATCCTCCAGGCACTGCAACCACCGAGTTCTGCAATAACCACTTAAAATTGCCGACCAACTACTTACCAAATGCTGTAATTTTTTCCATTCAATTTTATTATGTGCATCATCGTGTCAAGACTCAAAAGTAAAAACCCGTGTTCGTTATTAGTCATTACCTCGAAGGTGATCCCTGTTGCGCAAAAGTAATCGGCCTCTATGGCTACAGAAGCAGTTCTGTAAGTTCCCAGTTCGAAACGAAGGCCGTCCTTATCGGATGCCTTGTTGTTCCAAGTAATCACAGTTTCAGAAGTTTGATTCGGATTCCCAATAAATGATATGTACGGCTTCGAAATCGGTACAAGTACCTTCTCTCTGCGCCAATTCACAAGACAACAAATAATAATGTAAAAATTAATTTTTGAGAAGCAAATTACAACGATATATGGGTAGTTTTTTTCTCCAATATTTTTTTTGGGTACAGTTTTTAGGAAGAGACCACCACTAAAAGCATATGTAACTTCCACTACTACCCACGTAGCTCAACTGGGTTTAAACTGACCCCTCCAAAACACTAGAAACTGTCAAAAAATACAAGATCTGAAAATTCTTTGGGGTTTTTTGTTGAAGTGAAATGTTTTTTTAACAGTGAAAAGAATTTACAACGAAGATCCTCGAGGGACGAGTGATAGTTTGTTTGCATGCAATGAGTGAAATGTTATTTGATCAGACAGACCTGTAAATTCCAGGAAGAATGTAAATTTTGACTCTTTCTGTATTTTGTTCCGGAACCATATCAACTGCTCCTTGAACTGTTAGAGAATTTCCTCCTCCATTCTTGTCGACCACAATAATCCGGCTTCCATTAACGTGTTCTTCTCTTGTGTTCAACCCCAACTTATGGTCATCCACCTCCAAATCATCCCAGCTGATATAATTCCTTGCATACGCTTCGCTTTGTGAGAACCCGACCTCAATGCAACCCAAGAACAGCAACACAAAACCAACAACAAAAACACTCCAGACACCCAATTCCATGACACCCTCAATGGTTATTCTCCGTCCCAAACCGCTTTGAAAATACGAGAATCAAAACTAAGAAATACATGAAAACAAGAAAACCCCAGCGAGATGTGTGTTGTTTGTTGAAGTTTCGAAGATTTGTTTGAGTAAGATTTGTTTGAGTTGGGGAGGAGTGAATGAAAGAGGTGAAGATAATAAATGAGGGAGCGTGGGGTGTTGCTGCTTGTGTTCCTTGTCAAATATTAAGAGCAGCATAAGAACAAGAATCATAGGAAATAAGAAATAAAAAAAAAAAAACGAAAGATTTAATATCGAATTTAAGGATCTCTCTCTCACACACACACAACAGATCACAGATACATGTGGAGAATTAAGGTTGGAGGAATTTAAAGAAACATGGGTCAGTCATCAAACTTGTGCTAAAAGTAAAACAGAAACTTAAGTAAAATAATTAAATGGGGAGTTAATATTTTGATTGAGCTTCTAATTAGGTGGGTTATAATTTACTTAGAAGATAAAACGATCTTTAACTGAAGAAGCCAAAGAGCGGTTATGCTTTCTTAGATGATTTATTGAAACTGAAAAAAATGAAAAGGTAAAAATGCCAACTGAGTTGTTGAATGGAATTTGATTATATATATATAGATATATAGGTGTATATAGAGGTAGCTGTAGCCTGCAGTCTCTTTGCATGAGCATTTGAGTAAAATGGTTAAAAGTTTCAGAAATTGGTCACACGCACAGAGCATTTCATGCACGTTATACACCCACGTCAAATTATAGACATGCAATTTTATTTTTCCAAAACTGCTGCACGTAATTAATTTTTAATATCATTTTCGTGAAATCATAGGTAAAATAATTGACTACTTGCATTCTCTTGCTAACAAAATGATGGGTCTTTATTAGGAAGGAGTTACAATCTTACTATTGTTAATTAATTGATGTTGAAGTTTAATATGTGCAAGCTATGTTGAGGGGCGGGAAAATTGAATGCAAGAGTGAATGCTTTTAACCAAATAAGTAAGCTCTTTATAAAGTCTGACCTTTCAAAACTAATTTCTTTCTAGCCTTCAAATTTTAGCTATGTTATTAATAAATGAGTTTGGAGTTACGGTAGAGACACTAAAGTAACAATAATTACGAGCCGCCCAAATTCTTATTTTAACTTTTTAAGTCTCAAGTATTTCATTTGTTTTCATGTGGGTCCATTTTAAACTGCATTTAGTGTAATTTGCGAGAATATTATGTGTTATATCAGCTGGTAACATAAAAATTGAAATTGCAACTATAATGATTTGGTGATTAAATTTTGTAAAGTTTTTCGTGAACAAAGTTTTAAATTTTGTAAGTCTATGAAGGATGACGAGTTCAAACTTGAGAAGTCTTGCAATGTTAGAAAGAGAAGTTTTATAATTGATCAATAAGAGCGGTGTACTTCTCTTGGCATTGTACTATAGCAATTACTTCAACTGTGTCCATGCAACAAGAAACACTAGGAATGGATAACTTGTTCCATATTTTGTTATTTCCATTGTGACCAGACCATAAGCCTTGAAGTTGTGAGCATGCAAAGTCTTCATGGTCATTGAGTAGCTCTGTCTCTCTCACTCACACACAGTCGCTCACTAACGACCGATGAGTTTGTTGGTAACTTTGTCAAGTATGCTCATGGGATGATGATCCACAAGTATCGTACTACTTCAGTTCTGCCTTTCAATTCGAAACACCATTTCGAGAAATATGGATATGATGAAAGCTCTAACTCGCTTTTAAAAGTAAACTCGAACTCATGCATTTTCTTGGATTTATTTTATTTTATTACACACTAATCTATGGAGCTTTTAGTTTAAATATCAAATCCGAAAGGAATTCAAGCTAAAATACCATACTTATAGCTTAGGTACTAGTTGAAAAAAGCCAATAATCTTTGAATAAGAATTCAGGCTTGTTTGGAATGTTTTGTATTCATCAGAATCGTCACCTATACTCAGTAAGTGTGTTCAGCAAAACGCTTTTGCATGCTACAAGCGTAAAATCTGTTTGGAATTATTTCTAACACAGCTAAAAGCGATTTGACAACAAAAAATGCTTCTATATCCTTTTGACAGAAACATTAAGAATTTAGAAAGGAAATCTAGCTAGGTAACTAGTTTAGAATTACTTGGAAAAAGCATGCATCTGAAATATTAAGGACCAAAAGCAATATTAGGCAATATATCCCAAAATAAATATTTTTCCTATTTTCTTCAAAGGCCTATAAACTGATGAACCCACATTCCAAAACCAAAAGAGAACAAGTCTTTTAACCAAAAAAAAAAAAACACCAAGACGTGACCTCTAAGTCTTTTAACCAAGCTTAATTAATTAGAATGATTATGGGATAACACTAGAGGGAGGTAGGTGCTAGCATTCTTTCACTATGGTGGTCAATTTTAACTTAGAGAAGATGAGAGAATTTCATATTTCTCAACACCAAAACACTAATTAAAGATGACTTTATAAGACTCACAAAAAAATACCCCTCTAGGGCCGGTCATCGGAGTGCGATATATCATAAATGTTAATGGCTTCCGTCCTCGATGTATTTTGATATTATAATAATAAACTTGACTTTGATACCAATTTCATATAGTTAGATGATTAATATAGCAACCAGACAATAAGCCTTGAACATAGAACTACACAGCAGACCAACTAACAAGGGTCACAAGCACTGATCAGAGACTCCTTGGATACTTGATGGAATATGAGTGAGTTACAAAGAGAGCAAGAGAGCATACAGGAGAAAATTGAGCTCTGCTATCTCAACCGTGCTTGTAATATTGTGATATCTCTATTTATACAGTTGTTACAGGAAAGTTACTTTGAGTTATATACACATCTGGCTTTTTGGTTGTGGAGTACTGAATTTTCGACATTTTCTTTAGCCCCCATGTTTTGAGTTGAATTTATATAAGATAGTTGGACCGTTATGGATGTATTGCTCGAACTTCAACTTTTTTATGATATAAAAGCAAAGTTATCCTGTATATGATGCTTAACGGTCACACTTGCTCCATGTTATCTGAAATGCATTATTCTCACGTTAGGCTTGAAATTCGCTACACGTGAGGGGCGTGTAGAGATATGAATTCGACATAGAAAAAATAAAGAGCTATGCATGCACTTATAAGTAGTTGGGTTATTCCTCATATCAACAATTAATTTTATGGTGGAACCTTAACGTTCTTCAAATTAATCACATCATTTTTTTAATCTCTGGACAGAGATTATTATTTCGCATTGCTAACGTTACCAAAATACCCAACTTAGTACTGCAGTCTAGTGGAATTCGTATTCACTTGTAAGTGAGAGGTCTTAAGTTTGATTCTCGCTAAAGGCAAATTATAATCACATTATTGCTAGTCCATTATAAGACTTAGCTCACTCCTCTATCCCCTTAGTGTAGATAATATCGTTGGGCAAAATATAATATATATAATATATAATATATATATATATATATATTATATATATATATATATATATATATATAGGAATTGCTTAAGGGGAGGGATCCCCATTTTTTCAAAAAAATGGGGACACGCTCCCCACCGTTGGATTTGAATTAAATGAAATCCTGTGGTTGAGATTCTATGGCCTGTGTTTTAATCTCAACCACACAATTTCATTAAAGTCAATCTAACGGTGGGGAGCGTGTCCCCATTTTTTTTGAAAAAATGAGGATCCCTCCCCTTAAGCTCCCTGTATATATATATATATATATATAATAAAAAATGAATGGGTAGGTTTTGGAGCCAAAGCATTTTAGGGTGTTATAGCCACCTCCCAACTCTCTCCCTCTCTCTCTCTCACTCTCTCTCGTGGTGCACACCTATACCCTTTATCCGCTATCTCCTCGTTTTTTTAACTCCTCACCGAACTAATGGTGACCGACACTCCTCCCACCTTCAATCAGCGGGTTTGCGGACAACCATTTTCCAGCCACCTAAGGTGGTGCTTTAGCTTACAATAAAAGTAGAAAATCCATTGTTTCCCCAATTTCTTAGTTATTTATGTAGTTTATTTCACAAAACACCACTGATATATTTGAGTATGCAGCCCAATCTCACATACAACAAAAGTGGGCTTGGACTTCCAATCTATAACAAGCCCAAACTACATTACCAAAGTAAAATTAAAAAAAAAAAAAAAAAAAAAAAAAAAAAAAAGGATAATTGTACAATCTACAGGCAGAGTGAGCAAAACAGAGCCCTTCTTTCCACCGAGGGAGAGAGAGTAATCAAGTTCCATTTCAATGGCAGTTTCTTCAATGTCTACAATCCTAATCCCTTCTCTTCCGCTCTCCAAATCTACTGCATCTCCGACTTCCAAGCCAAAGCTCTCTTCTTTCTCTTTGCCCTCGGCCAACAGTGCCTTAAAGGTCAGAGCTTCAAGACCCTCGCAGTCATCCACTAGGGTTTATGCTGCTCCCGAAGTCCTCGAGTCCCCAGAAACCCTAGTCCCACCTCCAGAAACCCTTGAGGTTTAATTTTCTTGGCCATTTCTTCTTATTTTCGTGTTCTTTTAATTTGCAATTTGATAATGCTTTGTTTTGTTGCTAACAATATGTGGGGAAAGGAGAATAATTTTCCCTAATTTATTTTCTTTGTTGTTTTAAAATGTTAGGTTTTCTTGGAGTAGTGAGTTATTTTTATCTTTGTGTGGATTTATTTGCCATTTCTTAATTGTTGATTATCTGTGTGTGCTTTAGGTTGGAAGTTCTGAGACCCCAAGCACTTCATCACTCAGTATTGGTGGAGATGGAGATAAGGTGGAATTTCAATATTCTTATTGTTTGAACTGGGGAAATTGATTGCTCTATCTTTTTATTTTATTTAGATTAGTTTTTGGAAATTTAATTTAAGTACGGCGTATTAAGGATTTCCAAGTTAACTGAGGTGGGAACATATTCCTTTCCTTAGTTGAGTGTTGGTGTAATATTTAAATTCATATTTGAATCTTCTCCTATTGGATAGTCTTTTTGAATATGTGTATCGATGTCAAGTAAGAAGCTTGGTGCTAAATCCTTTAGTAAGTAATTGAGGGATATCAGCCCAAGTGTGCTTCCATAAAAGAATATTTGGAGAGCTAATGTTCTCGAAAGACTGCGTTGTGAAATGCTTAGTAAAGAAAAATCATACTGCTGGTAATATATGTCAAACACCCAATCATGTGATTTTACCTTAATCTTTTGTTTGAGTGGTCTATGCCTTTCTTGTTGTCTAGTATTGCCTAGTTTGTCCATTAGTTCCGGGTTGAGCTTTTGAGTATGATCTTCTCCAAAATCTTCTTGTCAACTGTGCCATTATAGGTAGTAGAGCTTTTTTGTATTTCTTATAACTCTGAGTTAATCCTGACCCGGGGATGGACCTCTTTAAGTAATGATTAATTGAGTAGTATATTGGGTATGCAGATCCTTCTGTTTAACTTAAAAGTTAAAAACAGTTAGATTTTGGAGGGACATTTACCTATTCTTAACCTTCAATAGCCTCCAACATGCTAAGAATTTTGGCTAGTCGCTGACAAATCCCCATATTTGATTCCCAACTTATAGGATGAGCATGTCGATTCGATCATGGCTTGGGGCTATTTGGCTAGGATGATTTTTTTCTCATGTATCTGGGACAGTTTGGTGCGATGGCTTGGGAGCAGCCTCTCCATAAATGGGGGTAAGGCTAGCCGACATTCACCTCTCCCAGACCCTGCGTAAAGCGGGAGCCTTGTGCACTGGGTACGACCTTTTTATCTGGGACAGTTTGGAGTGGCAGAGAGTAACTAAGTGGCGAGGACCAGCTAGAAGACTTCTGACAGTGCTGTTCTGATTTGTCTAATCATACTTTAATTGTTAAAATTATAGAAGAAAGGTCTAATTTAAACACACTAATTATAAATTAATTGTTCCCTCGCTTTTTTAACAGCTTCGCATTTATTCTGATTATCTAAAGGTGTTTCTGTTTTCAGGCCTCACCCAAGCAGAAAATCAGAATTAAATTGAGGTCTTACTTTGTGCCTTTGATAGAAGATTCCTGCAAGCAGATCATGGATGCTGCAAGGAACACGAATGCAAAAACAATGGGTCCTGTACCCTTACCGACCAAAAAGCGAATCTACTGTGTTCTCAAGTCACCCCATGTCCACAAGGATGCCAGGTTTCATTTTGAGATTCGTACCCACCAACGCCTCATTGATATTCTATACCCAACTGCACAAACAATAGATTCCTTGATGCAACTTGACCTTCCTGCTGGAGTTGATGTGGAGGTCAAGTTGTGAAGAAGAGGTGCAGTAGCTTAGGTAAATTTTTCTCGGCCTCTGAAGTTTTGCTTCCTTGTACTACTATTATCATTTCTCATGTTAGAGTAAAATTTGTTTTACAGAGATTAACTGCTTTAATTGGTAATGCTGGTGCATATAAGTTGATAAATAGCTCTTTCGTGTGTTTACGTCATGCATTTTTATTCACGTTTTTTTTTTTTCTTCTAATGGCGGATGGGGTTTTTTTTTTTTTTTATTCATTATTTTCACATGATCTGTTTCAGGTCAAGCTTCCAAGAACAGGTATCCGAAAGAGAATACAATGGTTCACGTTCATTTTGTAGTTACATATTTATTGAATGCATTTGACCCATTCCTGACATTCTTCTGTTTTCTGTATGTTGTAAGCAATTATGAGAAAATGGGAAACTTCTGGCCTTGGATATCAGTTAAAGAGTAGAGATAAAGAGTTCGTCTTTCATATCCATGTAGTTACATATTTCTTCTCTTTGAGGTAGTCATGTTAGAATTGTATGAACCTCCTAAACATGCAATGTCATTACCATGTTAATTCCGCTTTGTGCATCATTTTTCTTATTCTACGTGTTCTCGGCGTCATTTCACTTTCTTGGTAAACTGCTGAGAAATTTTGTTGTTTATATGCCATTTTTGCAATTGCTCCTGGAAAATTTGGACAAGTTTGGGCATCCTAATTCAAACTTACAGGCAAATTGTTTTTGTTGTTTTCGTACTTTCGTTTTCCTACTTCCTTGTTTTAGTAGTGAGAGGTACAATGCCATTTGGAGTGAAGAATACTCATGGCTTTTTTCTCAACGTATGAGAGATTCAGTTGTGTTTGGATTGTCACGCATTACGTGGTGCATTTCACATCCAATTCCAAAGAATCCTTTTCCCGGGTTCACCCGTAACCCGCTTCTCTGTCCTATATTTTTGATCTCGATTTCCATTCCTCGTATAGTTTCATGAGACATCTCATGTTACAATGCCCCTCTCCTTTCCCTCTTCGGTGTCTGCTACTTGTGTTAGTTCATCTGTCTTTGCAACTGTTAACCCCGAGAATCCTTGCAAAACATACAAGATATTGGCCACCTCTGCTGGCAATTCAAGAACGCCGTCCCAACCCAGTCGAACCCGTATTCAGTCTCAGATCAATCCTGTCTCGACAATTCCGTTACGTAGTACTTGAATTGTTACAGACCCTGTTCAATATATCTTGTTCCAGACAAACCTACTCACCGAAACCACTAGAAACTCCATACTCATGACAAAGAAGATGCTAAGAGAGATTATATATGGTCGAAAATGAGAGCGGAAACCTGTGTGGTTGTTGAACAAGACTGATCTTGTCTAGCTATTATTTTACTTCAATTATGGCTCATGATTCTTTAGAAAGCGCACTGGCGCATCACCTTGCGATTAAACTGAGCAATTCCGACGTGTTTGTTCATACCTTCGATGAGATTTTTGTCGGTGTTCTTAACGAAGATCAAGAAATTGTGGAAGCCCTAAAAGAAGATTTGAAGGTAGCGAAAGAGAGAGACCCAGCATGCACAACTTATGTGCACTGTTTCTTGAACTACAAACGCTTCCTTGCATGTGAAGCACATAGGGTTGTGTTCGGGTTGGATTTTGGGTCTGGTCCCTCGCACAGCTCCTCGGGGATCTCGCTCTTTCTATGCTCCACTAAACTGGGGTCCAATCCAGGCATTTCTGTGTAATTCCATGCAAAACAGTCATTGAATTCATGCAAAAGGTCCACTATCTTTGCCTGATCTCTAGCCTCTAACAAGCCACTGAGTTGTATTGGCCTTGGATCCTTCTTAATCCCTAAATTAATGGTTTCCAAGAGGTCTTGTACTTCTGGTGCCGATTTATCAGGCTCTGTACACAAAAATTGTACTGACTCCGAGGCTTTGGGCTCATCCTCTGGTCAGTTTAAGTCATATATACATTTTACCATGTGAATGGCTGCTTCCACTTCTTCTCCCAAAATCTTTTTTCCTTATCTATCTTTGGTGCTCGTGACTGCAACCACTTGGTCCTTCCTCTTTTGGTCTGTCATTATTGGTGTGGGTAGGCTGGGACAATATGGGGCCTGTCCCATTCTTCCTTAGTGAGAGAAAGTCCTTACTCTAGGAGCTTATGGGCCATCACCTTAGTAGGGCAGTTGTTCTTATCAGCACCTAGACATGGTAAGATCCCAACATTGGGATTGTAAAAATTTGCTTCTGCAACATTGGTTGTGGGGAGAAATGGTCGTGATCCGACCTCCACTATCTCCCAAAATCCTGGCTCCACATTTCTGGTCTCATGGTAAATAGCAACTTGTTGGTGCAAAGTAGATGGCATAGACATACTCTGGTGGATCCAATCTCTCCTTAGCAATACCCCATAGGTAGAGCTGCTATCCACCACAAAGAATGCCAACATTATTTTCTTGGATCCCAAGTACTTCCACAGGTAATATCCTATAGGTTTTGGTGATGGCCCCAGATAAACTAGACATTGTGAGATCAGTGGGAATAAGATTTTCTTCACTTATGCAAAGCCTCCTTACTTGTTTGAGTGGGAGCACATTAACTGCTGCCCCCATATATCAATACCCTTTTGAAAGGGACTCCCTTCAAATGAGCTGTCACATATATGGGCTTTAGATGGTTTGCTAAGGTTAGACTTGGTTTGCTGAACACCATCTTGTCAGAATAAACCCTCTCGGGCTCTTTTCGTGCAAGGTTTGGCAAGTCTGCCAAGCCTGATCCATCTTCTCTAACTTCCTTAATGTTCACAAATGCTATCATTGGTTATGGTGCCAAATAATCACCCACCATTACTACTGGGTGATCTGGTTCTGCACAGAACATGGCTGATAAGACATAGGTCATGTTCACATGGAAGTTGCTTGGTCTAAGAGCAATTCTACCCCTAAAGACTTTGCGGCAGCACCTAGCGTATTTATCCACTCAAGTGAACAGTAATAGACCCCAGTGAACAGTAATAGGCCAAAGTATCTCCACCCCTAAAACTAAATAGCCTAGTCAATTTTATTAAAATATTATTAATTTTTATTATAAAATAATAAAAATTAATAATTTGATTTTTACTTTATGAGTTTCTCCCAAAAAATGCTCCTCAAACCAGAGCACGTCGACCCACCCTCCATCAAATCCCCACGTCCCCTTCACTCTTTACTCTCCGCTTCCTTTCCACCGCCCTTCGCGGTACGACCCGCCCTAAATTGGTCGACATTGGCGCCCGGGCTGGCCAGCTCCAAACCCGTCGCCTCTAGACCTATGCCCTGACCTTCAGTTGCATCGCCGGATTTGTATATCATCGTCCTTAACATCTTCCAAGACTAGCTTGTCCTTAACAGCAAGTTCCAGGTCGGCGGCCTCATCCTCGAAGGTAGCGTCGTCCACCCGTCTTCCTCGCCGAAAATGGAGTTCATCGTCACCGATTTCAGATCATGACATCAGCCTGACACCATGTAGGCCAGTCCTAAGGTCTGTCAATTTTGGGCTGGCCTGGAGACCAGCTTGGGCTAGGTGCCAGGCAATCCCGTGGGCTGGAGAGATTTCCCTAGGTGCCAGGCCCTTTTTTTGGCTGTGTGCCAGCCTATCCCACCCCTGGTGGAAGTTTTAAGTACTTATTCTTTCTTTTCTCCAATCCGACACATAAATTGACCTATCCATGCCTGGGCATCCTTGGTTAGCATCAATTCGTGCACTTCCTATTCTTCTGTTATATCGAAGTTATGCAACAGCCTTGAGATTTCACAAGGAGCATCTTCTAGTAGAGGTGGAGGTATCCCATTCTCAAGGGAAATGGTTACAAAACAGATAGGTTTTGGATTCCAGCTTAGTGTAGGCATTATCACCACTCTCTTGAGCTCATCTTAACACCCTGTATTTCCCTGGGTGGCGGTTTGAGGTACATGATCTCCTTCACCTTCAGCTTTACTGTTAGCTTTCTCTATCTCTTTCTTACTTCTCCATTGGAGTTGTCTTCTTCCTCCTTGGGTGACCTTCTCGAACTTAACATTTTCAGAAGCTTCTGAAATGGCAAGGATTTTTAATGAGTTCATATTGGGCTCATGGATTTCTTTCGCCATCCCTTTCTTATGTTGCTATTATAACTTAGATGGGGAGGTTTCACATCCATCCACTTTGGCAATTTTGGGCTTTAGATCTCCTCCCAATCTCTAGAACACATTCTTGGTGGTTTCTTTCTCTGTTGCCTGAACAATGCTTCTGCGGGCCTCTTGCTCATCTATTTCTTTTTTTTTTTTGAATAATTCTCGATCCATAATGGCACCCAATGCTGGAACCTCAAGTTCATACTCACACTGACACCTACTACATAAAACTACTCATTTGACCATAGCTGGTTAGGGTTTGTCAAGCAACTTTCTAACACCTTCTGATGGCTTAACATCTTGCCTTCTCTCTCCCTTTTCATCCCAGGTAGCCTCTCATTTTCCCTTCTCAACCCAATTAAGGTTGATCATGTTGATTAGGGCTTTTGGGAATGAATCTGTGTCAATCATCATATTGGCTTGGGGTTTCTCCAAACAGTTTTCCTTTGACTATGAGATCTTGGATCCAATCTCTAAATTGTACACAATTAACTATGGAGTGATTGAAGGTGTAATGAACCTTGCAGTACTTCTTTCCTCTAAGCTCTTCAGGTTTAGGCATCTTCTTGGTGCTGTTGGGCAAGATTACTCTAGGCCTCACTAGTTCTTCATAGATGTCTGTTGCCTTGGTTAGATTAAAGGAGAAAGTCTGGTACTTTGGGGGCTTTATAGGCACAAAGTCTGCATCTCATTACAATCTTCTGGCCTTTGATAGACTGGACCAATCCTTTCACCATTAAAGGTTTGAAATGAGTGGTTATCATTGCAACATTGCCAACACATAGCTCAATCCCATTTCCCAGACTGTTATAATTTCCTCTTGACTCTAGGCCTTCAAGCTCTAATTGATGTATTAGGGCTTTGGTCTTATAGAAATGAGGCACTTTAGATGAGTGTTTCACTTGCTACTCATCTGTCAGCAACTTCTCATACCTAGTGGATGCAATCACCAATTCTTGAACCTCATTAAACTGTACATCATAGAACTTCTTCCTTAAAGGTAGCCTCAGAGCATTCTGAGCAATAGCTATGAGCTGAGCATGGTTGATTGGGAATTGGCATTTTATCATGGTTTTCCTAAACCTCAACATGAAATCCTTCCTAGACTCATGTTCATATTGCTTCACCTCTACCAAATTAGGTGAGCCTGCTCATGGAAGGTCATCTCTGGCTCCACCCTACAAAACTACTCATGGAAGGCCATCCCTATTTGCCCCAAATTGGTAACGGAATTAAGGGGTAGCAGAGAGTACCACTGGGAGGCTAAATCTACAAATGAATTTCCAAACAGTTTCAGCTTGTAGTTGGGGCTGTCCTCGAACGTTACACAATAATTTAGGAATTTGAAAATGTGATCTCTGGAAGACACATTACAGTCTTCCTTACTAAAAGTTGGGAATGTGGGCATCGTGAAGTTGAAAG